AAGTCGACCCCTAAGGTAACGAGAGTCAAGAACAGCAGAGACTTCGAATTCCTCATGACCCTCCACAGAGACAGGAGGTGGAGGCGGGGAATGCCAGGTATAGCGGTTGCGTACGTAAGGCTTCAACAACGAGGTGTGAAATACATTAGGAATATGCAGATTCCTAGGAAGACCCAAGGTGTATGAAACAGGATTAACCTTATGCAGTATACGATAAGGACCTATGAAACGGGGAGCCAATTTCATAGAAGGCACCCGCAGGCGAATATTCCGCGTGGAAAGCAAAACCCTGTCCCCCACAACATAAGTAGGAGCCGCCCTGCGATGCTTGTCAGCCTGAGCCTTCTGGCGAGCAGCGGAATCCACCAAAGAACGCTGAACCTGCTCCCAAGTATTACGCAAACCAGCCAAATGCTCATCCAGAACTGGCATGCCCTGTGAGGAGAATGCAGCCGGAAGAACAACGGGATGCTGGCCATAGACAACGTAAAAAGGGCTTTTGCCGGAAGAATCATGAGTGGCATTATTCCGAGCAAACTCAGCCCAAGGAAGCAGATCAGACCAATTGTCCTGATGGTGAGACACAAAACAACGAAGGTACTGCTCCAGAGACTGGTTGGCACGTTCAGCAGCTCCATTAGACTGGGGATGGTAAGCGGAAGAAAATGAGAGAGAAATACCCATTTCTGAGCAAAAGGCTTTCCAGAACCTGGAAATAAATTGGCTACCCCTATCGGACACGATAGATACAGGAATACCATGTAACCGAAATACTTCTCTAGCAAAGACAAGAACCAGTTCCTTGGATGTGGGCAACTTGCGAAGAGACACAAAGTGAGCCATCTTGGAAAACCGATCTACTATCATCAGGATGACTGTGTTACCATTCGAAGGGGGTAATTCAACAATAAAATCCATGCATAGGTTAGACCAAGGTCTCTCGGGAACTGGTAAGGGATGCAGAAGCCCACAAGGAACTCTACGAGACGTTTTCATACATGCACAAGTAGTACAAGCACTTATATAGTCAGTGACATCCTTGCGTAAGGAACCCCACCAAAAATATCGAGAAACTGCTGACATCGTTTTGGTAATACCAGGATGTCCAGCAGTCTTAGTATCATGATATAATGACAGAATCTCCCGTCTCTCTGGAACATCAACAAACAATTTATCAATAGGCCTCTCGCTAGGTGCCATACTTTGTTTCGCCTGTATGGTCTGCAAGAGGGATGAAGAAATAGACAACATAGTAGTGGCTATTATCCTGTCTGGGGGAATGACAGGAGTAACATCAACCTCCTGTTTGTCAGTAGTTTCGAACTGTCTGGACAGAGCATCTGCTTTAATGTTGCGATCACCTGGCCTATAGGTGATAATATAATTGAAACGGGACAAAAATAGTGACCATCTAGCCTGCCTAGAAGACAATCTTTTAGCTTCACCAAGGTAGGATAGATTCTTGTGATCTGTAAAAATGAGGATAGGATCCTTAGTTCCTTCTAACAAGTGTCTCCATTCTTTAAGAGCTAAGATAATAGCAAGGAGTTCACGATTACCCACATCATAATTCCTTTCAGCTTTGGACATTTGTCTAGAAAAGAAGCCACAAGGATGCAATGGCCTTTCAGGCGATTCTCTTTGGGACAAAACAGCACCTACCCCGATTTCAGAAGCATCAACTTCAAGAATATAAGGCAGTGAGGGGATAGGGTGCTGTAAAATAGGTGCAGAGGCAAATGTAGTTTTAAGAAAGTCGAAAGCCTGAAGTGCCTCGGGAGACCAGACACGAGTATTACCACCCTTTTTTGTCATACGGGTGATAGGTGCTACAATAGACGAAAAACCCTTAATAAAGCGTCTATAATAGTTAGAGAAACCAAGAAAACGTTGAATTGCTTTCAAACCCTGTGGTAGAGGCCACTCTATGACAGCAGAAAGCTTCTGGGGATCCATACGAAACCCTTTGGCGGAAATCAAATACCCCAAGAACTGGACTTCGGATTGGTCAAATAAACATTTCTCTAGTTTACAATAAAGACCATTAGTAAGAAGGGTCTTCAGGACCGTTGTGACATGTCTGTGATGAGTGTGCAAATCTGTAGAATATATCAATATGTCGTCCAAGTATACAATTACAAATGTGTGAATAAAGTCTCTTAGGACATCATTAATAAATTCCTGAAATACTGCTGGGGCATTGCAAAGACCAAATGGCATAACAGTGTACTCGTAATGACCGGATCTAGTGTTGAATGCAGTCTTCCATTCGTGACCTTCCTTTATGCGTATTAAATTGTATGCACCTCTAAAGTCCAATTTGGAATTCTATTTGATTAATAAAACCTCTGCATGTCTTGGCTTCCCCTCCATACCTAGGAGGAGGTGTTAAATGGGGCAAAGTATTGGGTGAATTGGATACTTCGGGAGGATGGGGTGTAGGAGGGTTAGGTGTGGTTGCAGGAATAGTTCTAGACAAGAGCGTCTGGAGGTATACCACTCCCGCTCTAATCCAGCCTTTACAGTAGCATGTTTCAGCCTGTCAAATAACTCTGTAATTAAAGGTATAGGGTATGCATTTTTGATAGTGATTTTGTTTAGACCTCTATAGTCAATGAACGGTCTTAAATCACCCTCTTTCTTAGATACGAAGAAAAACCCTGCTCCAGCCGGAGAAGAGGATCTCCTAATGAACCCTTTTTCTAGTGATTCTTTAACATACTCCTCCATGATACGGTTTTCTTGAATAGATAAAGGGTACACTCTGCCCTTAGGAGGTATAGTGCCAGGCAATAAATCGATAGCACAATCATAGGATCTGTGAGGCGGTAATTTATCAGCTTCCCTTTTATCGAATACAGTTTTGAGAAACAAGTACTGAGGAGGTATAACAGTAGATAAAGGAGGAGTAGTAGGAACATTAATGGTATTTAAAGGGGTGACTTTACTCATACAAGAGTCGTGGCAGGTTTTACCCCATGATTTTAATTGCCCCAATTCCCAGTCAAAAATGGGATTGTGAGAACATAACCATGGGTACCCTAACACGATATGAGAAGAGGGAGAGGTGATAACCTGAAACCGAATGGTCTCAAGGTGTAAAACCCCTGTGTACATGAATAATGGTACAGTTTCATGGGTAACTACTGGAGTATTTAAAGGTCTACCATCTATGGCCTCAATGGCCAAGGGTATCTGCCTCTCTCTGACGGGAATGTTATTTTTCGTAACAAACTCAGAGTCAATGAAGTTCTCAGCAGCCCCGGAATCAACCAAGGCTAGTATGCTTTCAGCTATACAACTCTCTCCCGTATGAAGGGAAACAGGGAGAAGCAAACGGTTAGGAGGCAATTTAGGAGACTTAGATATCACACCCAAGGCCAGTCCCCTATAAGGTCTTAGGTGCGAGAGTTTTCCGGAAGCAAAGGGCATTCCTTTACCATATGATCTCGCCTACCACAGTATAGGCAGAGTCCGTTCCTTCTTCTAAGTAGTTTTTCAGTATCTGAGAGTTTGGCAACCCCTAATTGCATGGGTTCCTCCTCGGATACTTTAACACTCTCAGGTTTATCAACTCTGGGGTTAGTAGGTGTGACTACACGTCTATTCCTGTTCTTGGTATAGAGCCTGTCACGAATTCTATTATCTATATCAATGAGGTAGTCAATAAGGTCCTCTAATGGAATAGGAAGCTCTCTTGCCGCTACCTCATCTAATATAGTGTCAGATAAACCTTCCATGAACGCAGTAGTTAACCCATTATTGGTCCAATCTACCTGTGAAGCAAGGGTACGAAACTGAATAGCATAATCAGCCACAGACCTAGACCCCTGTTTAATTCTCATTAATGCTCTTGCGGCATTCTTTGACCATTTTGTTGTGTCAAAAGTTCTACGAAAAGCCGTAAGAAAGCTATTGAAATTATGCACCATAGGTCCATTGGCCTCCCAAATAGGATTTGCCCACTCAAGTGCTTTGTCAGTAAGTTGATGCATCAAAAACCCCACTTTAGACCTATCAGTAGGAAAGGAATGAGGATACATCTCAAGGTGGAATTCTATTTGATTAATAAAACCTCTGCATGTCTTGGCTTCCCCTCCATACCTAGGAGGAGGTGTTAAATGGGGCAAAGTATTGGGTGAATTGGATACTTCGGGAGGATGGGGTGTAGGAGGGTTAGGTGTGGTTGCAGGAATAGTTCTAGACAAGAGCGTCTGGAGAGCCTGTGCTATCTGATCCATACGATGATCCTGTTCTACAAACCTTGCCTCGTGAGAAGCCATTTGCTGAGCCAAATCTGCGGGGTCCATGGCCCTATCATAATGTAACGAGAATATACCCCAACACACAGGATTCGGCTAAACAGAAGACAACACAGAGGAGAGATACGTCTACCGGACCTTAGAATGGCCAGACTCGACGTATATGAGAGGAGGCAGAGTCAGGAACGATCCGAAGTCAAGGACACAGAGAGACAGCGTAAACTAGGACAAGCCAGGGTCTGGTACACAGTAAACAGCAAGCCGACAACCAGAACAGATAAGGATAAAGAGAAAACGTAGTCAGAAACAAAGCCAAAGTCAAAACGGAGAAACACAACTGAACACAACAAGCGCTAAAGGGAACTGATACAGAAACCACGATAGGGCAGGGAGTAAAGGGAGAGGTAAGTATATATAGCTTCTAAACTAATGTGATTGGCTCCTGTCATATCCACACCCCCAAAAGGTAAGTGTATGGGGAGTGTGGCATGACAGGGGCCAATGGGAGCCTTTTAACAATTTAGGCTCCCACTGCCTCTTTAAGAGGGCGCCCGAGACTCGCGGCGCGCTCTTAGATTCAGGCGGGACACGTGACCGCTTCTTGTGGTCACTGCCCGCCTTCCTGTTGAGGCCGTTGGATGAGCCGCGCGCGGCTCGTGCAGCAGCAGGACCGCGCGCGGCTCGAAGAGAGGACCGCGGCCGGCCCCTGGATAAGGTGAGTAACGCTACACATATCTTCCATAGTTGGTGGGTTACTTCAGCCGTGAATTGCGTACCCCTATCTGATATGATCTCCTGGGGGAACCCTACCCGTGAGAAGACTTTCATTAATGCCTCGGCCACCGTCTCGGCGTGGATATTGGAGAGGGCCACTGCTTCGGGATACCGGGTGGCGTAGTCTACTATGGTCAAGATATATCTCTTGCCGGAGGGACTGGGTTTTGGTAAGGGTCCTTCTATATCTACGGCCACTCTACTAAATGGTTCTTCTATGATGGGCAGTGGGCATAATTTGGCCTTGTGGTGGTCACCCCTCTTGCCTACTCGCTGACAGATGTCACATGTCTGGCAGTACTGCCGCACATCCTTGGATATACCTGGCCAGAAAAAGGCATGGGTTAGGCGGTTTTGGGTGCGAGTCATCCCAAGATGCCGTGTGCAATCCTAAGGAGCTCCTGTCGATATTTCTGGGGTACTACTAGCTGTCTAGTAGTCACATTTACATATCCCCCATTACCCTTTCAGCAATACGGTACAATAAACCCTTTTCCCAGGTATACCACTCCCGCTCTAATCCAGCCTGGTCGGAGATCAACCTATCCCTGTACACTTTTAACATAGGGTCTATCTTAAGCTCTGCCTCGAATTCAGTCAGGGTATACCAGGTAACACATGTCGTAGGAGTGTCATTGTCTCTTACCTGAGCCTCAGAGTGCGCGGATGGAGCCTGTTGCCTTGTGGTTACTGGGTGGGCCTCTTGAAGTGGAGCTTGAGGTATAAAAGCGGAAGTAATTTGGCCCAGGTCGTTCCCCAATACGACATCTGCTGGCAGCTTTTGTATCAGGCCCAGGGTTACTAGATGGCGATGGTGTTACCTGTTGTCTGTGGCTTGTACAGACATCACATCATGTAATATTCCCAGGGGCTCTTCAGTCTGATTTAATAATATCTCCTGGGTTTCTGGCTCCGCTTGGTAGTGGTGGGCGGCTGCTCTTGGTGCTGGGTTCAGTCGTACTTGGCTCCATGCCTGACGGCTCCGGTTCTGGGTACACTCTCTTGCCATGTGGCCCCATTGTTTGCATGTATGGCACTGGATATTAGCTCTGCCATTATATCTGGATCGTGGAGTGTGCCCCCCTGGGTTTGGCCGGAATGGGGTTGCTGTGGGTCCTGTAGTGGTAGCTTTAGGAGGTTGAGCGGTGGGTCAAGGGTACCCGCTGTTGAGATTACCATGATACCTCCTGGCGTCATAGTGTTGGTCTGCTAGTCGTGCAGCTTCTGTTAGGGTGAGGAGTTTTCTATCTCTCACCCATTCCTGTGCCTCTGGGGACAGGCCATTGAAAAATTGTTCTAACAACAGCAATTGCCGTAACTCCTCCATGGTGGTCGCATGACTGGCTTGTATCCACCCCTGGGAGGCTTCTGCTGCCCGACCTGACAGTTTGCCTGCCAGTAACGGTACCCACACTGCCTGCTCCAAATCATGCAAGTCACATAGCCTCTCAAAGTCTTGTAGATACCCATCAATCTTGTCTTTATCCTTGCAAAACATTTTAAAAGCATGGTATGGGATCTTAGGCTTTACCTGGCTGATGACTGAAGCAGCAGTAGATTCTGCTCTGGAAGGTGAATCTTGCGGTCTGTGTGCCATCACATCCTAATGCACATCCGCCATCAGTACTGTCAGTATTTTCAGTGGTACTGGCTGGGGTAAGAATTCCATCCTGGTCCTCATTTCTTTTTGGAAGGAAGTTTCTTCCATGGCTGGTGGGGGTGTAACGCTGCGAGCTCTGTAGTTGGACTCAAACATTGATTACATGCAAAGGAACGTCTGCTTAAAATAAATCTGCACTTTTGTTTATTTTGAAGCCTATGAGTGCGCTTTTTACGTTGAAGGACTTTTTAATTTTAAGTTATCTGTTCTAACTCTGTATCTGCACACTATGCTGGCGCGACGCATTATGGGGCTGGTAAATGTTTTTTTCCAGGGCTGCTTTTAATTCCCAGTCCGGCCCTGTTCGGTAGTTTCAATTCCCCACTTTTTTACCTGGTCCCAGATCACCGGGTGGACTGGTAATCCTAGACCTGGGTCCACATACGAGGGATGAGTATTATTCCCACTTTGACTATATGCATTCATGTTGTGAACGAAGGAGGCAAACTGTTAGTAATAGACTTTGCCTGTACTGACCCAAGGCTCAAGCTACAGATGACTGGATGTTTTCCCCACACCACTTTTCGGCTGTAAGGTTGGATCCCGTCGCTTGCCACCAATTGTAGCGGAGCTGCAAAGACAAGCTCCTGACGAAGTCTAAGAACCCAGACGAAACACGTTGAGCACACTTTGAACCATGAAAGGATTACTGCGGGTGGGAGCTAGACACCTCGCTATTGCTGCCTTCCGAATGACGGTCAGTGAAGAGGGACTGTTCTTGAAATTCCACACCATCAAGGACTGCTGTAGCCAGGGTATTAGCCTATTTGAGGAAAACACGCTTTTGCATTTATTGATTTTATTTCAATTGTGCCACTATATTTGTGAGTGTTCCATTTTATTTTATTTTTATCTCATGTCAAATAAAGCATTTGCACTATGATATTTTTCTTCTATTTTCATGTGATATCTACATGCTCAGCAACAAGTTGGTAAATATATACACCACTCTGTAGATTCAGGTATGCCTAGTGCAACACACAGGGATGAGGGAGTCTGACTTGTGGGGAATCGCTCAAAACTGGATAAAGACAGGAGTTCACCCAGTACCTGTCCAAAGGAGTATAATAAAGGGAGTGACACCTTGAATTTGGTGTGATAAATCCAGGAGCCGTTTCACCCACAAAAGTCTATTTGGTGGGAAATTTTAGTATTAGGATACAGATAAAAAAATATAAGGATTAAAAATATAATAGTGCCGGATGAAGTACAATGAGAAAGTTCAGATGTTGGAGGAAAGAGATGCAGCAAAATGTATGGTGTATACGTCTTTAACTCTGCTAAAGGCAGAATAAGTATGGTATACACCGAATATTCTACTTAATAAAAGAGACCATGTAACATAGAACAACAGTATTAGGGACTGTCTATACTAAAATTGAGATAGGTGTCATGGCTTAATATAGTAACGTAACTATTTATAGTGTATATGACTTTAAATCTGCTAGATTAACTAAGATGTGTACCAAAACTGCTTTTTTACAAAGAACTGTCAATCATATGAGTTAGAAATACAGTACTTGAAACTGTTTTCTATAGTGCAATGACTTTGGATATTATTAAAAAAAAAAAAAAAAAACTTAGAAAAGAGAAAAAAATAGAAATGGGTAAAAAATAACAAGAAATTTATTCACAAATATAAAAATGTAGAAATACTAAAAGAGTTAAAAATACAAGCCAGGAACGGTATGCAAGTGTATTACCAGCAGAAAGGTAGTCCTTATTTCAGAATAACCGCTGGGACCAGCTAAGATTAATGTGGATACTTTGTAGCAGAATCAATTTCTGTACTTGCCGGCTGCCGGTGAGGTTGGCGTGCATCCCAGACCTCACTCTGGGTGGTCAGTGTTGTCAGCCAATCGGTCCCCAGATCGTGGATACTTCTCGGTGAAGGGAGAGGCTCTTTCAGCCGGATCAAAACTGCGTCCGTATCCTGCTCTGTTTGTTTCTGTCTATATACACCACTCTGCTTGTGAAGTGGCGCCCTACACTTTATTTTCACTTTGCTGTTATACAGTTTTTCTTTGCACTCATTTTTAAAGGGATATAGGGAGTGTGTCCCACTAGAAGTGGCTTGCCTCCGCTTTTCTTTGTTTGCTCATCTCACTATTTGTGTTTATGTATTGTTTTCTTATTAAACTGGGTATCCATTAGAAGTTCCCCTAGGGCCTGGGATGCCGCATTGAAACCTTTTTGGCGAGGGAACAGGCTGGGGCATCAATTACTCGGTTATTATACAGTGATAAACATGGGACTCCTAACATTTAATAGGCTGTGTAACAGGTTATATTCAAGAGGAAACGGGGGAGGTCTTATAAACATTATCCAATAATAACATCATTCATCAAACTCATCTCACCATATCTTATCCTATAGCTAGCTTGCATGTGTAATGGGGTATAATGTAAGGTATAATGTACTCACTGTAGTTTCAGTTTAACTATGCAGCTGAAATAAAAAGTTACTACAAACTCATAAAGTAGATATGTTAATACGCAGTTAGAATTACAGAA